GCACCTTTGCTCGAGGAATGCTCCAAAATAAATCTTCCACCCAAGTGAGAGGATGAATATCCTCAGTGGTTGGGGAGCCAATCTACGAATTTGTTAAAGAGCCATAGGTTGCCAGGGCTTATCAATGGAAAAAATCAACTCCTTTATCCATTGAAGTGATAGCGGTTGACATTGCAGGGACGGGTTAAGAAGTCATAATCCTCCCCTGATTTTGGGCTGCATTAGGAAAAGTCATGCCACTCTAGCGACGACTTCCGCTAACTCATGATTGCCTCTCCATAAAAAAAACAACCACCTGTTTTTGTAATTTTTTTGTCCGTGAGTGCTCTTCCAAACAGAAAGGTTTGTTGTTTTTTCCATTGATTCATTTTGTCGATCGCGGGGCCCGACATCCAGTCATCGTTCAATACAGGTTTGCCCAGCGTCGTGAGAGAGACTTCCAACAGCCTCACAGATGCTTCTAATGGAAGCCACTTTGCTCTCGGATGCTCTGGAGGACGCACTGCGTTTGAGTGGATCCACCACCCTTGTGTCTTATTCCGCCAATTAATCATCATATTCGATACTGCTGAGAATCGGTCCATCAATGCCTTAATCTCTTCCAGATTGGAGGTCGAGGCCTCTTCCTTTTTTTTCTGGAGGTCGAGGCCTCTTCCTTTTTTTTCTAAGTCCTTTCTGGTCAATCTCGATGGCTAAGCATTCCAAAGTTTTCCACTCCACTCTTGTCCTTACTCCTCCTCCTCCCCTCCTCCTCTTCCTCTTCTTAATACCATTGCTGCACCTCACATGCAACCACCTCCACCTCCCATTCTCCATTGACATTGCTCCTCTTTCTTGTCGATTCCAAGTGTTTGGTGTGTGTTTCCCTTGCCCAAGATAGAAAAGACAATGACTGGAGTAGACTCACATGGTTGATTTTGTGTGTGTGTGTGTGTGTGTGTGTGTGTGTGTGTGTGAGAGAGAGAGAGAGAGAGAGAGAGAGAGAGAGAGAGAGAGAGATTTCTCCATTACGAAACACTGCCCCTCAGCACAGCATGAGCTTCCAAAGCAGTGCCGACTGATCTTGCCTTGCAAGGCTACTTGAAGACAATTGCAGCTCAAGGAAGTGAATCCCTGATTTTCCAACCCTTCGATACGAAGGCACAAGCGTTTGCTCCCCTCCTGACGTCTGCCATTGCCCACTAAGGCTCAAAGAAGTCAAGTGCCAAACTTGCATGTAGATATCACCTCCTTGAACACAAACAGGTGGACCACCAATCAAAGGCAGGTCCTTTCCCCATCTCCTAGCTAATTATCCGGCATACCTTCCAGCTGAAGCTCCTCCTACCTCTGTCTACCTAGCCTTAGCCATAGCCAGGTAGCTATGGAGGAGGGAGAAGTGGAAACAGCCCAACCCCCCATTTCCGGCCTCTAAGCTTGTGGAACTACTGTGGGGTAGCCTACCAGACAGAGCATTGGAAGCACAGGTTGCTTCCCAAAGTCCCCCTTTTGCCTTAACCCTTCCATACTTAGCCTCAAAATAAGGCCTGGAAGTTGGCAGCCTTCCTGTTGGCCCATTGTGGTCCCGCCTGGCAGGAAGACCGCGTTTTGGTGGGGAAAAAATGGGCCCACAATTCAGTAGTCTGTGATCCAACCTTGGTCCTGGAGGAATCTAAACAAGAGGTACCATCTTCCACGGATAGAACGTTCCATCATTATTGCCGTACTTGGACTGAATGTTGCCCTGAATACAGCTATTATAGTTCTATTCAGGGGAAGACAGTAGTGCCAATCGGCCTGTAAACCCAGTCAGCGGATCCTACCATCTTCACCCGAGTAGAATGCCCGATCACTATTAGCTGTATTTGGTGCAATTTTCAGTCTGGATTCAGCGATAATGACTGGGCATTCACTATTGGGTGAAGACGGTATGCTAGGGCCTGGGCGAGCTCGCTGGAAAACCCAGCTGCTACCTTGTCCCTGTAACACCAAAAGCCTGCCCCCCTCAGATGCCTACCCACCTGTCTCTCTGGTGTCAATTTTTAAGTCTATCCTTCCAAGTCTGCCCTTTACATATATGACCTCCTCAGAGTCCCAAAGCGACTCACAGACAAATCTACTGACCTGTCCCGCTGGTTCCACTTATAAGTCTACCCCTCCAACTCTGCCCTTTTGCAGGTACAAGCCATAAACAAGTCTAACTTTCTGTCCTTCTGATGCCAACTTACAACTCTAGCCCTCCAAGTTTCTCTTTTTACAGCTATGACCCCCTCAAAGCCCCAGAACAACTCCCTGCTAGGTCTATCTGCCTGTCCCTTGGTGCCAACTTACAAGTCTAACCCTCCAAGTCTTCCCTTTTACAGATCCCCACAGGTGTCCTTCTGGACAGCCGGAACGATACAGAGAAAATCAGAATCGCCCTGCGCAAGGATCACCCACTTTTTTCTGGCACTTTTTTCTGGCACTTTTTCTGGCACTTTTTCTGGCATGTAATAACCCTGTTCAGAAGTAGCCTGGGGCCCAGAACTCAGCCCCAGGCCACGCAGACCTGAGAAGGTCTGCGCTGAGCTGTGTGACCAAGACACACCCAGGCCTGAGTCTGTCGAGTGTGGCTGTGTGACCGAACGCTGCACACAGGAAATTCAAGAGTCAAAGTCAACTGTAGAGTCAAAGGTACCGCACCCAGGCCCTGGGTTGGATACACTCACTTGTTGTGCGCAGGTACCCAGACAGCATCCAGGCCAGAGGGAATTCGGTTTCAGGACGATCTGAGCCCTCATTCGCATTGAGATTTGGACGACCGAGGGATACAGCATCCGGGGTCCAGACCCCGCGTCAACACTACATACGAGTTGACTTCCTGGCTTTGAGATTCATTCTGTCTTGCGTTGATGCTGACTTCACGCATTGACTTCAACGCTGGCTCAACGCTGTGACGCTGGCTCGACGCTGCGACGCTGGTATTGTGATTTGGCGAGGCGCTGCTTGTCTGGCATGGTGGCCGGCTTGCTCCTGTCTCTTTGGCATGCTGACGTGGCAGCTGCCGTGCACTATCGCTGACATGGCTGCTGCCACGTGTATCATTGGCTGATGTGGCTGCTGCCACGTGTATCATTGGCTGACGTGGCTCCTGCCACGTGTGTTATGACTGGGACTACGTAATCGGCATTGCTGTTCTGTTTCATCGTCGCTTCAGGAGGAGATCAGGACTGTGGAAAGTTCGAGGATACGTACCTGGTGGTCTTCATGTCGACATTGCTCCAGATGCTGATGTGGAACTGATTAGACGTGCCACAGGGCACATTGAGGATACTTGGATACTCGTTCAGACTATTGATTGTTGAGGTGGCAGTGAGGAGGGAGCCCGGAGCAGGAGTGGGCATTGTACTTCCTCTCCTTTGTCTCTTCTCCCTCCTCTCTCTTCGTCTGTGTATGATCTCTCACCTTATTCTGTCTGGTTACGATTTTTGACTACTAGTAATCATCACCCGATAGACATTTATCTGGACTTGCATTGTTGACAACTGTCTCACGATCTGGGTTCATTGCAGGCACTTTTTTCTGGCACTTTTTTCTGGCACTTTTTTCTGGCACTTTTTTCTGGCACTTTTTTCTGGCACTTTTTTCTGGCACTGTTCTGACACTTTTTCTGACACTGTTCTGCCAAGCTCTGGCACTACTGCGCCCTTCTCTGATACTTCTGTGATTCTAATGAAAGGGTTCCCTGAGACTTTTTTGAGACACTTTTGTGCTTTGGCGGCATAGGGTGTTTTTTGCTGTGAGAAGTAAAGTCCATGAGCACCTGATTTTTTTTTATTTTTATTTTTTTTTGTGTGGGGGGGGGACAAGGCTCCAATCTATTCGTGGGGAGCAGCACGTGCTGGGAACCGGGCACCTGATTTTGAAATCCTGCTCTAACACTTCCTTGACGCTGTTCATGTGAGTTCTCGTCCAGCTGTTCTCTGACAGTTCATGGCTGTCGAAAGCTTTATTCTGACATGACATTGCTCTGTTCTTTTTCGTCGATTATGTTTTTAATTGGACCGATTTACGAATCACGGTTGTTCAACGAACCACCAGACACATCGGCAACCTTCGGCGGAACTTTGAAAGTCGGTCGGATTTGCAGCTACGAGGAGGGCAAGCCACAGATTATGACCGAGCCAGCGTCGGCATGAAACCTCCGGGATATGTCGACAATATAATCTGGGCGATGCAGTACAGGCACAAGGTGGGTAGGGTACTGGTGAACATTTCTTTGTGTTGTCTGAAAAAAGAAAATGAAAAAGGAGATGAAAAACTTAGAAAAGCAAATACAGGATTGGAGTCACATGCAAGGATAGCTAGGGGTATATGTTTTCACCATTACCCCTAGCTGTGCCTTGTAAGTGTTATTGGAAAAAAAAAAAAGGGACTTCCTTGCAAGAAAAAAAAAAAAACTGTACACACACAAAAAAATAGGACTGTTGGGGGCATTCGTATTCCATTATCAAAGACTCAGAGGTGAAAAATTCTTTCTTGGATTTATGGATGGGAAAAAAAAACAAAAGGCAAAAGGGGAAGGAGTTGCTGAAAAAAGGGAAAGGGAGGGAATTGACTGCTGCTTGGGGTGTAGTTTTTTTTTTTTTTTTTTTTTAATTAATTCTAACCACCAGTACATCCAAAAGAGCAGATTGAGCCTCTGACCATTGATAAAATGAATGGGCGGTTCATGGCCCCCTGTTTTTTTTTAAGGGAGAGGCTCAATCTGCTTTTTCGGATGTACTGGTGGTTTAAAGCTATGTTGAAGATATTGTTCTCTCAATTCACCTTTCACTACCTGCCTTCCGCTACTACTAAGGCTATACAGAGGGGACCTTTGCAAGAATAGCTACCTCTCACAATCAAGGGGATTGCATATTTACCCCTGCCCTAACGGCGGTGGTCAGGGAGTTGGGTGTGGCCACCAGTGGTGGCCCGTCTCACACAACGACCGAGCATTTTGCCAGTAGCAGCACCTCCCTTATCTTCTTCCCTCACCCCCATCAAGTAACAGCACTGTCTAAGGCCAACACCCTCCCACACACACTACACACAGTTCTAAAGAAGTGTGTGGTATTCAGGCTGAGTTGCTCTTTCCAAATCCTCCCTCCCTCCCTCCCTTCCGCCCTCCCCCCGTCCATCGCTCTCTGCCTCGCTCTCTGCCTCGCTCTCTGCCTCGCTCTCTGCCGCGCTCTCTGCCTCGCTCTCTCCTCGCTCCCTCCCTCCCTCCCTCCCTCCCTCCCTCCCTCCCTCATGAGGTGTCACTTTTTTCACGCCACCCGGAACTCTGTAGTTTGAACTGTGGAAATTGGAGAAATGCAATTCTGCACGGTACTTATACTCTAGCTCATCACAACCCTGCGCCATCAACGGCAAACATACTAGAAAATAGCACAGGGTGGGGGTCAACTTGTGCAAAGACACAAAAACATAAATGCCATCACTAGAACATGAATGATAGTCTTCATTTTTTCTAGTGTGTATGTAGGCTGCCATGACATTTCAACATTACTGTACCAAGCATGGTAACCGCCCGGACGTCCGGACCGGGTTCCAGACAGTCCTGTGTCCGGTGTCTGATGTCCGGTGTCCGGTCCCATGTCTGGATGGAGGCCCCTGGGGCAAAAATCGAAAAAAAAAATGGGG